AAAAAATTAGTATAAAATTAAACAAGTAATATAAAAAAATAAAAATAATTTCGTACAACGTACAAGCTAAAAAAACTAATTAAAATAATAAAATGTAAATTATATGTTATTTAATAAATAAATTTTTATTTTTTTAAATTCATAATATTATATATAAAGTCATTTAATAACTTAACTTATGTCATATATTAGTCCTAAATTTTAATCCTCTATATCCCTTCTCTTGAAATTGAGAAATTTATAAATAACCATTTTTTGAAGACTGCGAATTACAAATACAATTCGGCCATTGCACTTGGGCTAAGGTCGCCCAGTCCATCCTATCTTTGAAGGGATGTGCCTCTGCCTATGTGGCGTCCAAGCTGAGCTCTAACCCAACTTCGGGTTGGGCTCAGGCAGTCTAGCTCACCCATGTAACGTGCATACTTAAAAAGGTGTATACATATATATTCCTCATTTATTTCTTAATTTAGTAAAAAATTATCAAATATATATTTTTTCTAATGAAGTTTTTTAAATTTAACTTGTTTTTATAAAAATAAATATTAGAGGAATGCAGTGTGCACTCTAGATAAAATTAGTCGCTCCTTTTCTTTCTTTTTTATTTTTGAGTTTTCTTTTTTAAGGAGGAGATGATAAGCTCGAGGGGTAGCAGCACTGGGCAAACATTTCCCAAAATATTAAAACAGGGTATTTTCACAAGTTAGCAGCTGTAATTGGAAATTTCACTCGGATAAATATAAGATAATTTAGAGATTAAGTCCAACTCAAGGACGGCCAGAAAAAATGATCAAAACTCAAGGGCTCTCCTAAAACACATAGAAATCATGAGAAAACGTGTTTGATTGTGAGCTCACCGCTGGCAGGACTAAATGTTGCTTCAACTACTGCAGAAACTGATTCAGATGTGCATTCGGATCTTTGTATTCCAACTGCTACAGGCTTAGCCAGAAGCTTAACCCCCTGCTTCCAATATCTGTGATCTGCAATAAACATTGTCAAATGATAAGAGTAATCTCCTACAATCATTTTTCTGCAGATGATTAATTAGCCTCTCTAGGAATACCTACCCAGGTCCCCTAAAAGATGTCCTAATGGTTAAGAACTTGAGTCTCTATGTTAGAGATTTTAAGTTCTAATTTTAGGATAGATGGAGAGAGATTTGGGAAGGGGAAAGTTATCTTATATCGTATAATCAATTATTCCATGTACCCAAAAAAATAAAAAGAAATGCCAACCCGGCCCAGTTGACAACACAATTGCATTGTCTGCATCCATCACCCAGTCAATCCATAGGACGAACCCGTGGCATATCCCAGGCTCAGTGAATTTCACCTGCAGGAATTACTTTTTCCAAGATTAAATGTGCAAGATATGTTAATTTAAGCATAAAAAGATGGCTTCCATCATGGTTTATATTACTCGCTACTGATCTTATATGTTTAATTAATTTGCAAGATGCATAATGGGCTAACAAGTCCTAGCTTTGATGTCAAGTATATGGATCCAGCAGAATGAATGGACAAGAGAAGTTTCATCATGCTGTAAACTAGCTGGTGAATTCTCCTGTTTAAGCAAAACGATGGGAATTAAACAAAGTTAATGAAACTAGATCGGTATATTGTAGAATTATGCGACCCATATAAGAAGATGATGAAATTTAGGTGAGAATTTCTAGTAATCTATGTTACTTTTGCACATAAGGTAGACTGATACCTGCACTTGTCCATAACATGGACTAATTGGTTTTGAGCAATCAAACTCCAATAAAGTAAATATCTCACTGAGCTCCTGCAACATATTCAAAATATTTGCAAGATATCAATTCCATGATTAGGTGTCATCATAATATCAATTCCGTGAATGTGAGTATTAACTACCTTAATCTCACCACACTGCCAGATAGGAAAGGGCAGACAAGGTCCCTCTTTTGGAGCCGGTAATTCACCACATGCACCTAAAGTAGTATTTACTATTGAGTGATCAAAGTCTTCAATCTCATTTAAGCAACAGCGACTGCTCCAAAGATCCTGCATAAAAGGTTATTCACATTTGAAGTTTGAATACTCAGAAAAAAATATTTAAACATAATATTAAACAAAAAGGCCAAAATATCCTACTTTCTTTTGACCTCCCTTCTCTGGGTTAAGTGATAATACAAACTTACTGGCAAGAGACATAGCACATGCCTTCAACATTCCTTTACAAGGCATTATCAACACATCCTTTGAGAGGATGGGATCAAGCATTGTTCGGTCCTTCCTAAATCAAATAGAGAAAGGAAATGTATAAGCAAAAGCAGGTCATACCATAGAAACAAATTACTATACTGAAGACATACCAAAAACACAGGTTCTGCCATGGAAGCATTCCCTCATTTCCATAATAGTATGGTTCTCCAATCAATAGGTCAACCTGCTGGAAATAGAACATAAAATCCTAACTTTTTGAAAATCAACTTATGAACTGATGCTTTGAAGATATAAATTGCATATATAAGCATACTGCTCAACCAGAACAGGAATGATTTTGTAAAGCTCAATCATAGATCACCCACAACTATTTAACCAGAATACATGTTAAGCACAGTTAAATTCTGAAAGTAGGTCATACATGTGAGCCAAGCAGAAGAGTGAAGAAATCAAGAAATGTTTACCTTCTTATGCCAAGTATCATGCATCGTCAAGCATGTTTTCATGTTTCCAATAACTTTTACATGATACATTGAGAAACCATTTGCACTAGCAACAGTTTCAATATATTGTGCACCCCTGTCCCTCAGACCAGGAAACAAGGATATCACATGTGATGTTTTTGAAAGATTTGCAGCAAGAAGTGTTAGAAAAATGCTATCATCTGCAACAACACATAATGGGCTAGCTCTTCCCTGCAACTATAAAGAAAATTATTTACATAAAGAGGGGTGCTAGAACAAAAGGAGGGAAATAGCATAGAAAATTAGTGGTACTCAAATTTTGAGAACAGCACTAACTATGAAATTTTTTTAAGGGGAGCACAAAAGGACAATTTCAACATGCATGAGGAAGACTCTTAAGTCTTAACAAGCATGGTTGGAGTCGAGAGAGATCTTACAGCATTTTTAAGAGCCGTTAACATAGACAGTCTCCAATTACTGTCTCCATAAATTGCAACTCTTTCAGGTGGTAGTATGAGCTGAAAATCCTCAAATTTATTATCATGCTGTATTATGTCAGACCGTGGGACTAAGGTTTTCAGGTTATATGAAATACTAGTATCAGTATGAATAGCCTCCAATAACACTTCTTGTCTCTTGGATATGAATACACCCTTCCCAGGAAGGAACCAGACACATTGTTTCCAGTGGTCACACCAATCCTGGTCACCTAGTGGAGCACCAGAAAATCACATGTTAATGGTCAAAAACCTCAACAATATAATTTATCTATACATGCACACATATATAATCTTCTGTTTCAAATTTTCCCTCTGGATTCACATTCAACTACAGGGTCTTCACTCTTCGCATCATATAACAAAAAAACAATAAAATGTATTTTCCCAATGTTTTGAAATATATTTCCTTATTAGCACAAAAAACTTAAATATGCCTACTTGCACAAACTATATGTCAGGAACTAACCTGTGTTGATTGGTGAATTTATCCATTGAGGAGCAGTTGAATAAAAGACTGTTCCTTCACGATCAAGCTGAAGTATCCACCTGCAACAAGAGTGGAGGCACAAAGGCACACTTTCAGAAAAAGCTTATAGACTATCTTAGGGAAAAAAATTTGTGACCCAAATAAAGGCAGATATAAATGTTGTTACCATGAAACTACAGCATGAACACAACCATCCTCTGTTGCCTTTATTTGGAGCTCAGCTTTTCCATGACTGTTTGGCCGTTTCCAAAAGTCAAATTCAAATATTTTGAAGGGGTCTGACAGCTGGATAAATCCTAAATTATATAGGAATTAAAACA